GAGAGAGAGAGAGAGAGAGAGAGAGAGAGAGAGAGTTTTGCATCCATAGGATGAGCAAAATGGGAATGAATCTGTCACCAGAACATGGAAATATACACTGCCACATTTTCTGTCTTTGGCAGTGTATATTTCCATGTTGTGGCAGTGGATACTTCCATGTTCTAGATGAAGATTGAATCCCATTTTGCTCATTCGGTGAAGCGTGGCAATGTCGGTCTGTGTGTGTGTTGTGTAGGATGAGCAACATCGGAATGAATCTTCTGCCACATGGAAATATACACTGCCACTCTTTTTTTTTGGTGCGTGTGTGTTGTTTTAAAGACCCCAGATTCTCTCTCTCATTTCCCTTCACAAATCATCACAAGCCATCCATAACGAAAAAGTATAGATAAGCAATATAATAGAAAATGCAGTTGGCCGCGTTTGTGTGGTTCAGCGCCAAGCGCCCAAACAGTGCAAACACCCATCTGCCACCAAAGCGGCACACTTGCACATACACATGTATACATATATATTTCAAACCATAAGGGGACGGAGGGCAGAAGGCAACTCACCTAAGACGGAAGACTACTCCAGCAAGAAGCCACCGACCCCCTTTTGCCCCTCAAGTAGGATTTTCTAGCCACAAAAAGGCCCCATAAGGCTCCTCTCGCGTGAGAAAGGGGAATTATTGAAAATTAGTGGACGAGAAAGTTGGATAGTGGGTATGGGGTGTAGGAGTGGAAATGAAAGGGAAGTGAAAGGGAAACGAAAGGGAAACGAAAGGGAAACGAAAGGGAAATGACGAAGTGAAAGCAATGTCTGATTTGCGAACGGCTAAATGTGTGAGCATTCTGGTCTGCAGAACGGGTCAGTCCTGTAACACAATCAAGGAATCAGGGAACTGGTCACAGACTGATTTTTATGTTTTTCCCTGACAGAAAAGGCAAACCCAAAAAGAAAGGGCAACAGGTTTGATATGTGCCTCCCTCACCTGGAAGTCAAAGAAGCCAGATTTCAAAACCTCACGGAACATCAGGTTGTTGTAATTCTCGGCTGTCAATTCAACAGCAATATTAATTTCGTTCTCAAAAACTTTGTCTGCAAAGCTCTCAATCTTCCCCGTTCGTAGATTCTCCGCGTCAAGCACCTCCTGGATCCAACAAATCTCCCTAAAAGGAAGAACAATGAATAACACAAACAAAAAGAGAGAGAGAGAGAGAGAGAGAGAGAGAGAGAGAGAGAGAGAGAGAGAGAGAGAGAGAGAGAGAGAGAGAGAGAGAGAGAGAG